ATCTCCACTTTACAGATGGGTAAACTGAGGTACACCAAGGTTAATGGTCTGTTGTTTCAGAAGGGGGAGTCAAATACCTGCAGTAAACATGGATTTTAACAGGATTTGGAGGAAGCTCAGCACTTCTGAAAACAAACCCAGATGACACTTTGTAGGAAAGGTTTTAAATGACCTCTTAACACCCTCACCATGCAGCGCTCTGGCCACCCAGTGATGCTACCTGGCCACTTCCACATCATTTACAAGCTAATATTCCGCTTCACTGCACCTTGGACATTCTTCCAAGCGAAGGACTGTTGTCTTTCTCTCTGTTCACCTTCTCCCCAGGTGCTGGCCTGTCCCCTCTAGTGTGGTGGATGTCTTTGGAGCAGCTAGGACAACGTGCCTTGCAGGATTCCCCTACTCCTTCCCAACCCGGGGGGAAACGCTGGTGGCGAGCAACCCTGGCAAGGGTGGAGGGGGGGTCAGAAGACGAAAGCGGTGCTTCCAAATCCTAATTACAGTTAGCAGGGATTAAGTAATAGTCACTAACCTCTTCAGCCCACAGAGGAGAAACGTGATCCTGTTTAATTCTCCTCCGCTCCCTGCAGCTCCTTCTTATACAACACTCTGCAGCGCCAGCATATCAACGTACCGCTGGCCCTGCTGCTATCATTGCAGCAACACCCCCTTGGCCAGGAATCCAATAAGGACTCTATAGGGGCGGGCTATAGCCACAAACAGCTACAGCACAGCAGAAAGGCTGGTACAGGCTCTGAGGCTGGGAGCTTTAGTCCAAAAACTACCAAGAAAGATGCACATGGCCAGCAAGGGGCTGACACCTCCCTGGCGACACCCCGGTTAAGCCCACGCAGCCGCCACCCCAGGCAGGCGCTACCCCGAGCCCGGGCATGCAGTGGCTTGGGGACACCGGCACCTCAGCCGCGCTCACAGCCGCCCAGCTGCATCCAGAGGTCGGGTTTATGCTGCAGGCTGAGCCCGTGCTCAGGAAACTGGGAGTTTCAGCAGTGCCAAGCAGAAAAGAAATCGTTCCGTGCCTGGCTTTGTCTGAATCGGTGGTATATAAAGAGCAGCTGCTGGGACAGCCCAGGCCAAGTGTTACACAAGCTCTTACTCAAGACTGTCTCCCTTCCTACAGGGATTGCTTCCTGGCCCACAACATACTGTGCTTAAGCACTAGCTTTTCCTTGAAGAGCCACTTTTTACCCAGATCTTCCTCCCAGCCTCTTTACTTGCCGTTTCTTATCTAACTGCAACAGGACTTTCAGCTGCTTCATTCAGGGCTTGGAAGATAAAAGCCTGGACGGGGGCAGCTATTTTACCCCAGGCCAGTAGATCCTGCAATAAGCAGTATATAAAGTGAGGGTGGTCTGAATTCCACAGATGATTCTATACCATGCTGATGTTGGGCATTCACACACTATGATACAACCAAAAAATGTGTCACGTTGGGACTTCAGGTACAAAGGATCAAATTCTGTACTCATTCACCACAGACATAAAGCAGAAATAACTCTGGAGAAATCAGTAACTATTGCCCTCAAGTCTGTTCAGTTCAACCTGTTTCTGGCAAATTTTGGGGCATGCTGTGTGTAAATAGTAATAAGTAGTCGGTCTTCTTACTGTAAAACTTCAAAATTCAACACAGCTCTAGATTCCTTAAAATCTTTATTCTGAAATTCTGCAGCTTAGGACTGTGAGAGTGATACACCCCTCTTTTAATTTCTTCCCACTCATTTTTTCTGACCAGTTAACTTTCTCCCCAGCAAGATTTCAGAAATACACTTGGCTTCCTCCTAGCTACATGTGCTTTTCTAGAGCCACATTTTCTGAGCCAGTTATGGAGTTTTAACTCATGCAAAACTTCCATGGTTTAACATAACTTTGTCTGAACATGACGTTTATACTGACATTACTACGCTAGATTTTTCAAATGTGTCACAGGATGTTTCAAAATTCTTTCTCTCTCAAACACATTGTATTACCACAGGCTAATGCACAGATCTATGCATCAGCAGCTCTAATTACAGTCATTACACAACTGCAGTAAGGAGGCGCTCCAGAGAGTAGCTGAAGAATTACGTACAAGACTAACAAGCAGGAACTTTAAAGTCCATCAAACCATGAGTGAAGGTCTGCAACATATGTGTGGTATGGCATAAAGAAGGATTGGCAGGCCAAGAGATAGGGTGTTTAAAGATATACATCATGAGTTCAACATATGGGACTGGTAATGACTAGCATGTGACTGTATGCTTAGCATAAAGTAATGGATCAATTAGCACATGATAGGAGACCATAACGAATAGCAGAACATATGCAAGAATGCATATGGAAGTGATTACAGGCAGATGTAACTCAAAGCCTTTGGATTCGGTAACTGTGCTCCCATTTGTACAGCCACGTGTTCTACAGGATGCGGGACCTGTCCAATCTCATAATTAACCTTGTAAAAACAATTGGAAAAAAACCTACTTTCCAGATGGATCAGCTCCCAAAACCAGGTGGGAGTGACAACACACAGCCAAACAGGAGGGCGCAACTGCTTCTCTCCACCACACCGTGGAGTTAGGTTAGCTTAAACCAGTCAGGTTGGTACTTGCTGTTTGATCTCTGCCTTAGGTTTGTTTATTTATTCAGGTGGCTAAATAGCAAACCCAACATTTAACTGAACTCCAGACCTGGTCAAGATGGGGGGGGGGGGTGGGTGGGTGAGGGGAGCTGTTCCTCCAGAGGTGGAATGAGACATGGGCTCTGGAAGAGCCATTTTTTAGCTGTGAGATGGGCGGCTGGCATGGCAAGAGGAGTGGGCAGGGGGAAATGCCAACCTTGGAAGAACCAGTAGAAAATAGCCCCCAGTGTGGACATAGCTCTACTGGTATAGCGATGTCTTACACAGTCTGCTTCTCTTCCCATATGGAACTAGCAGAGACAGTATCTACAAATAACAAGTACCTTTCAATACCAATAAAACTTCACCAAAATTGGATGAATATTGTATAGCTTTCATCATTGCAAAATTACAAGGAGGAGGCCTGCAGGGGTAGTTAGGCCAACACAGGCATAGCTGGGAACTGTAGACAAGTTTTTGGCACAAAATCCTTCTTCAGGTCTGAAACGTATGAAATAGATTTTTCAGAGAGTAATTAGATATGTAGGAGTCAGACCACCCTTGAAGGTAAAGGCAACTGATTCCCATAAAAGGGTTGCTAGTGGAAAGGCAGGAGGAGAGAAAGAGAGGGTAAAAAATCTGCATCTTTGCATACAAAACAGACTTCTAACAGGGCTTCTTAGGACTCTAGGAAGAGTTCCCGTCAGGCTGGGCCACCCGCTCCCTTTTTTTATCCTGTATTTCTCTTTGTCTACATTTTGGTCATATCTGCACATCGGTTTGTTCTGCTGATTGTCTTTCCATACCATGTTTCTACCCGCTCTCACCTTCCACAGTCCCAGGAGTGTTACAAGTCCTAGCAAGCAGATGTATTAATTAACTCCAGCTACAAGCTAGAAACCTTTCACTTCTCAATTATTTTGTCAGGAACAACTACACAATGCAAAATAATGTAATCATCATTCTGAGGATAGGAGTTGACTGGCAACCACTAGAAGCCCTCCAGGGGAAGAAACAGTGTTATTTGGGAGAATTCAATAGCAGATAACATTCCACTAAGTCACAAAAGCCAACAAGTGTAAATAAGAAGCTGGAAACTACTTGGATAAGAGGACAAACTGGCTTGGCAACAGCCCTGAGAAGAATGCCTGATTCAACTCCTCAGCCAGGAAGCACATACGGTAGAAGTATCAAGGCAGGTACGATGCAGTAAGAAACAGCAGCAGAACACACTCTGAAATTATTGGTACACTCATCGTTTAATTTCAGAGTAATTAAAACTGCCAGCCAAGGCTCAGGATTCTGTAATCCAACAGTGCTCAGAAACACTACAAATGCTACAGCCTAAGTGCTGTGCTGTGACAGCTCTGGACAGCCTGCTTAAATAAACTCTGCCAGGGACATTGGCCTACATGGGACAATGATGAGGGATAAATTTGGAATGAAAAAGATAGGCTAAAGCCAGCACTAATTAAGTTAAATATGCATAGAAGTGTATGGAATCAGATCACCAGATTGGATCCAGAGTTTTCTCTGGGGATTTCTGGAAAGATGCGTATTCTGTTGGGACTTTCAATTTTATGTGTAAGGGTGTTTTTATGGTGGCCCTTGGTTTGGGGCTTGGCCCAGAAAAATAAAACACCACAAAAGAGAGCAGATCTCAGAACAAGGCAATAAATTCTGGTGAGTTTAGGATTATCGATACAAACTGAGGGGACTTGGGTTGCGGGGAGGCCTGAGTTTCAGCACGGCCGCGGGCGGGGAACCGCAGCCGTCCTTCCACAGGCTTCCCCCCAGTTCATCCCCAGAGTCGAGGCCAGGGAAACCGCCGGCGAAAAGGGGCGAGGGACAGACCGAGGAAACCCCCAACCTTCGCCCCACGCTGAGGCGAGGGACCCTCAGAAAACACCCCCCGGCTCAAACCCCGGCCGCCGCCGCCGCTCCCACCGCCCCTCAGCCGCGGCCGCCCCGCAGCGCCCCCTGCCGCGCCTCGCCGCCAGCAATGGCAATGGCGGCCCCCACGGCCCACGCGTGAAGCCCTTCCGCCGACCGCCGCTGCTGTGAGTGGGGAGAGGCAGCCGGGCGCGGTTACAGCCGTTAGGGTGGGGGGGCCCCACCACCCCCGCCCCGCGCCGCACCCGAGTGAACCCCCCCTCTCACACATACACCCCCCTTCATCACCGGGCGGGGGGGGCTCGGCGCTGCACAAAATGGCGGCCGCGGGAAGGGAGAGGGGTTGCACCGGGGGGGACCCGTTAGAGCCCCGGCGGCTCTGCGAAGGGGACTACGGAGAAGGGCAGACGTTTACCGAGGGGGTGGGGGTGAAAACGGAGGCACTAACTGGGTGGCATCGCGGTGACGGAAGCTCTGCAGCAAGGTGGGCGCGGGCCTGCTAACCGAGGAGTCCGTGAGACCCGTGGGAAGGTGAAGCAGCGCACTGATTCTACACACATCAACTCGCAGTGTGATTACCGGCACCTTCTCAACGGTAATTGCACTTTAAATACACTTCATCCGCTTTTAGAAGCGGGATGCGAGGCAAATTTACCTAGCAAACTACAAACAGAGCCCGGTGCGCAGAAAATACTCAAGCTGCTGTAAAGACCTGCTCCTGTAATGCAGGTTTCGCCCACTTAAATATAATTTTCAGAGATGTTGCTGCCCAGGGGAGTGTTGCCAGCTCCCACGCGGGTGGGTGTGCGGCGGGGGGGCGGCATGGGGTGCCATCACTTCTGCCCTATGGCCAACGGGCTCAGAGGGCTGTGGCAGGTAACATCCCTGGGGCTGAGGTACGGTTTAAAACAGGCACATGCCCACAGTAGTCTGCGCTGTGGAAAACCCTGTGTCAGAAGCACAGCGAAGTGGAAATTTTAAGAAGTAGGCAAGCGTAAAGCAAGTCGCAGTTAAGTCATCCACATCATAAGAAGACCACAGTCAAATTTGTTTTATTGTTCAGGTGTGACTTGAGAAGTGATCAGGTTGTCTTGAGCACATTTAGTATTCTAACGCCACGAAGAAAAAGGATGGCTATGTTTCTTTCTCTAAAAATTGAAACTCTTCAGTTTACTCTCATCACTAAACCAGACAAGGTTTTACCTATCCCTTATTGGTGAGGCTAGTTCCTCCTGCCTCCCAGCCTAGTTGGTTTTGACTCAATTACTTTCTGCTAATTTGCATGAACTCTTGAAGTGCAAGAAGGTAGCATGTAGTGCGAGGTATAAGACTGGGCTTGATGGCTTCTTTTAGAGTCAGTTTTTGATAAACTGAAGTGTTAAAACAGAAAAATGAGCCTCCCTCTTTAGGCTGGAGTAATAGCAGGCTGTGACAGCAAGATGGCCCTGTTCTACTGCCCAGCTGTACCTCTCGTATCAGGTGTAGGGATCAGCTAGCTTTTTGAAAGTTGGTTTTCTAATGCTTTACAGCTTTCTGGACATGGCATACACTGCAGCTGCACAGTCCAGCAGAAGGGAGGGAAAAAGGGCATGAACAGACCTTCCAGCAGCAACTCACAGCTGCACTTAAATGCAGTGTTAAACTGCACCTACTCTTTGTTTTGAATCTAAGGTTTGACTCAAATTTGAGCAGTAAAACTGATGTTTCATGTCATGCGGTAATCCATGTTAAGAATTCTCAAATTTGACCGGGGGTGTGGTGGGGAAAGATGCATGCATGTTGACAGATAACAAAATACTGCCTTGCTGACAGCTTAGTGCCTAGAGATCCTTTTGTCTTAGTTAAGACTTGACAAGAATTTCTGCCCTCGCTATCTCAACATAATAATTTAAGGTGCTGAAATACCCAAAGTCAGCCAAATTCCATTAAACACAAAAAGAAAAGTGATCTTAAACAAGCAATGTAGTGATTTTAAAGTTGTTACATTTATTCTCCTGAGGAAGAAGAGATTCTCTTCAAGACAGGGGTTAAAAGGTTAGTCAAACTTTGTGTCATTTTTTTGTTAGATGAGCTTTAATTTAGACTACTGTAAATTGAATGAAAAAACATGGAGAATTGAGATAAAGAGCTTTTGGGATTAAAAGAAAAATAAACCCCCAACCTTTCATTACTATCTTACAGCTTCTTCAAAGTATTACTTTGCTGTTGCAGTTCTGAAATTAATGAAGTGTGCATGGATTATTGCTGCATGTATTTTACTTTAAAGCTGTTTATTCCCCAGAATTCAGAGGCTTTGCATGTCTGTTAATATAGTACTTTCCAGGTCACTTTTCTAGTACAAACTTAAGAGTTTTGACTCGATGCCAGAGGAGCAAAATAACATCCTTACCTTTGGCAGCTGTGACCACAACATAAAATCAAGCAGGAGGAAGAGCTGATGCTGGGGGTTATATTGACTACACTTACAACACCTTAAGTGTTGGAGTGCACACAAAGAGACCCTCATATACCCTCCCTACCAACATGGCTGTTAGGGCACTTGACCTTCCTTTTATACCTGCCACAGTTTAGCCAGCACAGGTGAATGCAATTTATCTGTTAAACAACATAGCTCCATGCAAGTATTGTTACTGCATAGTAGTTTATTTTACTTGCCTGTACTACTTTACCTAGCCTGCAGCACAGCCCTTAGAGCTGCTCTGAGGATGATTTGGTGGCAGCCCAACTTGTGGTTGTTCTGAGGATTAGGATGGAGCTCTAGATACAGATCTGAAGGCCGCATCAGCTCTAGCCTACTTTTGTGCAGACAGCTCACCTGCTTGTCCAAGTCCCAACTGTACAAATGCCACAAAAACAGAAGTCAACAACTGATGTGTGTAAGCACTTGATCTTGAAATGCTTGCATATTCAAGCAAGGGGAAGGGGAGAGGGAAGAAAGGAACTTAGCTAGATTTTTCTATTTGTTTATAATGCTGTTAGTGACTCAGTCTACAGTTTTGAGCTGTGATTTTGCATAATTGAGGAGGCTGCAGAAAAAGGCTGCATTGTTTCTCAGTTTCTGTAAGTAAGCAGCAGTTACGTGACTATAAAGCCAGTATGGGAGCTAACCTCTTGAAGACGCAGTCTTTTTTCTACTCAGCATATCATAAGGAACAGAAACTATTTGAGAGTATGCTTCTGAAAAGTTACCTGATACACAAGAAAACTTGAAATATTACTACCACGGTCCCAGTTGCCAGTTTAGGATTGTTTCTTAGCCTTTTCCCTTTTGTGAGCAACTTGAAAAGCATCACCAGCTACTTATACTGACATTTGCTTTCAGATGTGTTTCAGGGACACTTTCTGGTATTCAAGTGTCCTTAGTTAAGTGATAGAATACTCTTATCTGGTGGGGTAGTGGTGGTGTTTTTTTGTTTAACAACTGCACATCAGTAATAACTGTTGTATTTAAACCCTCCCTTCTTCCCCCGGGGCAGACTAATTTGCCCTGGTGTTTTATATTTGCATGTTTTCATTAAGTGATTGCACAGCATACCACCAGTTAAAATACATAGTCCCTGTTTCCAGAGCTGTCTCAGAGTACTCTGTGTACCCTCAGTACACAGCAAATTTGGAGGGTCTTGCCCTGCCTTTTTCACCCCTCAATACACCAAATAAAAAGTCATTACTGCTATTAATTTAGTCACTACACTAAACATAGTAAGCCCAATTAGCCATTACCTAAAAATGGATTCTGCCACCATGTTATTAGACGTCTCATAGATCAAACTGGAGGCACATGAACAGGGAATGTTTTCCTTTTTCTTATCTGTAGCTGTATCTGCTTTGAAGAATGGCTTTGTAAGCTTCTCCCATTAACTAACAAAGAGATAGAAATCTTCCATATCCCCATGTGCCTTCTCCAGATGCGGATTAACTTCATTAATGGCAGCAGTAATCTCCCAGTCTGTCTGGCAGGTGTTGATCTATGCTCCAGCACTAGTGTAGATTCTCACTTTGATGATGTTAAATGAATTGGAGCCAAGAGTGTGCTTTTGAAGCAGATTGTCTCCATGTACTGCACTTAAAGTTTTTAGGTGGACCACCAGAAGCTGCACCACAGGAGAACCTGCCACAACTAACAGTTGGGAAAGTCCATGAGAGCAGGCAAGAGCTGGTCTAAACAAACCACACACACAAAACCCAAATAGTGGGAATACAGTCCTCAGCATCAGGTATTTTGATTTACAGACCTGTACTTATTCCTGATGTAGATATAGCCAGCAGTAATTACAAGAGAGATCAGTCTAGCATTAAAATCATTAGAAATTGATGTATTGAACTCCTCTAGAAGGAAAACCTATAAGGAACGGGAATATCCATAGGGAAGTTTGATCCAACGGAAGTCTAACACAGTCCAAAAGACCAGTGCTTTCCAGTCTTTCAGCACTCCACGGGAGTCTCTACAACTGGTTGTATGGTGTTGATGAACACCACAAACTGAAAGTGTAAGCACAAGGTAGTATGCTAATATCTGGACTGCTTGAAAAGACATGCTTATCTGAACAACATTAATTTTAATGTAACATGAAAAATAATTTACTTAAGGCTGAGAAATGTATGTGGGGTACTTAGGAGGTTGGAGAAAACAAGAAGATACTCAGAATGTGACATTTGTAGATACAGGGTGACTAGAGTGCTTAACAAGTTCACTTTGGCAGGTTGTAGGTAGAAGGAATACAAGTCTTGCCAGAGACACAAACTAACATGAAGCACGGACTTGTGTCCTGGTCCTGTTTGTGGCATGAGGACCATGAAAGTAGTTTTAACGTTAAAACCAGGCACAGGAACGTAAATCAGAAGGTTAGAGAACTGGAAGAACTTACTCTGGAAAGCATGCCGGGTAAGAGTGATTAGGCTTGATGAAATGTGCTCAGAGGCAATTCAGATACTTTTCATATAGGTGTGGTTTTTCAGAGATTACTGCTGAGCTGCGCTTCAGCCTACTGGGGGAAGAAAGTGTAAGCCAGTAGGAGAAAATCAGAGCTAGCTAGGTAAAAAGTCAAGGGTAATGTAGACGGACACACAGTGAGGAGAACAAGCCATGAAATACCTAATTTAGCAGCATCGTGTTTCATCTGAAGTCTTAAAATGAGGAACAGTATTGTCTTAAAAAGTCCCTCAGGTCTTTCCAGCTCAAAGCAGACATCACTAAGTAAAGGTCTTTGACTTACACGCAGCCTTGCTTACTCTGATCTCCCGTGTCATTTTCTTGTGGCTCCTCCACAAAATTAGACCTCTCCAAAACATACAGTAAGCATCTTTTCAGTGGCCTTCCCTGAAAACAGCCCTGCCAAGCAGTAGACAATAATTTTTCCTCTATGCTGCCTGCCCACCCTTATCTCCAGCCATAATTACAGGCGGACTCTAAAGAAGCACTTGCCATGTTTGATGGGACTTGTTGCCCAGTAAGTATGTTACTAATGTGTATTCAGAGGAAGGAGACACACACAGCACTGTTTTCACATGACTTCAAGTATTGGGCATTTAACTTTTAGTCAATAAAAGCTTTAGGCTTGAGTTTTGCCTCGGCCCTTTAGCATCATCTCTCCTTGG